GACTCCCTTGGTAATTTTAGAAAATACGTGTTCATATATGTAAGTATAGCTAGATGTGACTAATACTGATCTTCAGATATGACTTGTTGATGTTTTTTGTTTGTTTGTTGAAATAATTGTGCTTGAACATAATTTGGGCTTCCAAAAGAAGACAGAAATCTTGTAAATACAAGTTTAACAACAAAAACTGATTTTTATGTACTTTGGGTACTATTAAGCCGGTCAAGAATAGATGAGGAGGGATCTCACTCCTGAAGATGCATGCCATACTAGCAGTTTATATTGAAATGACCCTGACCTCATAGATTATTCATTAGATTAAGCACTATGCATTGTTACAGTTTTTAATCAACACAGAAAGGACTGGTGTGCTAACTTAATCTGGTAAGTGCTGCATGAAACAGACTTGATAGTCTGCAGGATTTTCCTGAATCAGCTCCTGCTTGAAATATTAGTGAGCTACTTTAGGCCATTTTTTATTTCTTTATCTGCTAAATCCGAAGACCCTTCTATAAATTTCTGTTCTTATGCATGTACTTAGTATATTTATAATTAAAGTTAGGTCACCTTTACCTTTCCTTGTCAAACTATATAGATTGAACTCCTTGAGTCTCTAGCATTAAGATGTATTTCTAGAAATGTATAAAGCTTTTAGCTGCCTAGAAACCCACTTCAAGTGTTTGGTAGTCTTACTCGAAAGTGAACGGTAGTAGGTGAACCTATGAAGTGTTGTACCTACGCCAGTTAGATAGGTACTCATATCCTTGCTTTAACTTGATATTTGCTTGCTAATAATAAAATGTAATGATTACGTTTGCTTTTTTGGTCATGACAATATACTGTAAGTTTATGTACTGTGCTGGAGGTATGGTTTCTCTCTTCATTCATCTTGAATGTAAAGCAAATTTTCTTTGTTCCTAACATAAGGTGACCCATATGGGGACATGTGTCATACTTCCACATAACACTCTCCCACCCTCTCTTTCTGCCTCAAGAAGTTCCTGAGGTGGATGTGATTTTGAAGAGGGTATGTAGTGACTGACTGGATTTCTCTTCCATGGACTTGGGCACTTGTCCTTTTAATCCCGCTCTTGTACTGAAAGGTGGTAAACAGCTCCTTCCTACCTGCTGTTCACAGGCCACATGTGGTTTTGCAAATCACTGTTGTATCTTTTGTGGGCTCAAGGAATCCTAGTTTGCTTGATTGTTTCTTATATACGTAGCCGTTCCAGACTTTGCTTATTCCTGCTTCTTTTCACAGAACTTTTCCCAGTTCTAGTAAATAATTTTTGAGAAAAGGAGGCTAGACCTACGTATACTGTTCAAGCTGCAGGATAACCATGGGCATAGGTAGTGGATACATGAAGTTCCTCACTGCAACATCTCCCTGCTCCTCTTTTCTGTCTGTACTCAATTACTTATCCATGCATGAAATTTTCCTGTTTTGGCACCTCTGCTTAAGTTCCTTTAAAGATTTTGGCTGAGACTTTGAAAGCCTATCAGAAAGCCAAGAAGACTGTATGCCTCAGAGCATCCTCATGTTTTTGCTTTTTGGCCCCTTTACAGAAATCTAATGGATTTGTAAGGTATTATTTTTATTTTCAAAAGCTGTATTGACTCTTCTGAAGAAGACTCATCCACTGATTGTATTATTTATTATAGCTGCTATGAATTTATCAGGTTAGCAGCCTATAGCTTTCCAAATCTCCCCAGAACTATTAAAAAAAAAAAAAAAAGGCATCCTATTTGCCATGCTCTAGTTCCTGAATTATGTCGTTTGTAGTAAGCCAGAGATTACATACCCCCGTTAGCAGTTCAGGAACTTCATTCCTGAGTTTCTTTGGGTCTCTTGGATGTCATGATATGGTTCTGTTATTTGTTGCTGTTCCTAAATGTACAACTTTTTTGTACCATATTTGTACTTATTTGGCCATATTAAAACATAGATTTTTTTCTTTTATCTAGTTTACTCCCAGTCTAGGCATCATTTGAATTATCCCTCAACTACTTACCTCCCTCATCTTTTTTCGCAGCTCTGATCAGTGGTGAGTTTGTTTTATTTTGGGTCACTGATAAAATGTGAAACAACGTAGGGCCAAGAATGATCTGTGCTGGGCTTGTTAGAAATATATTGGCTGGAGAAGAGCATCACCTGCTTCTGCTTCAGTAAGATTTAGTGGTTTGGCAGCTAACCAATCTTTAATCCATTTAATATATGTTGTGTTTTTAATCAAAACATTATGTAACAGTCCTATTACTTACAGAAATCTAAGCATATCATTATCAGCACCGTTACCTTGTCAGCAAAGCATGTAATCTCCTCAGATGACGTTTATGAAGTTAATTTGTTCAGGTATTACTGATTGCTGTTTGTTGTTGCTCTTCTTCTATTTTATATGAAGTGTTTCATATCTTGATTCTTCGTTTTGACTGAGCTTAAGAGAAGATAGTCATTTGGAAACTACAAATATCAAAACCATCCTTTAACCCTTTTTTAATAATTGCTTTCTTCACTATTTTGGTATTAAGACTTTGTGTAAGTCAGCATTTATAGTCTGGGGAACTCTTTGTCACGCTCTTGTTTAAAAATCTTAACTGCTGTTCTTTTGGATATGTTCATTTATAAACACCAGATAACCTAAGCATGGGCAATAGGTATGTAGTAACTGAGTAACATCTTTAGTGACAAATGAAGTAGAAGTTTCTCGGCTCTTGAGAACTGAATCTCTAGTAATTTAACTTTCTCTCCCTGCTTTACTATTCTGCTGGGTAGATGTTATAGAAAGTGCATGTTTTGTCACTGAGACACAGATGATGTTACCGTAAACAGGATTTGTAACCAGCTGTGCCCCGACCCCGAAACAGCACGTCCACAGATTCTTTCTTATTTATTCTGCATGTGATCCTTTGTGTGCCTTCTGTATGTGAAGTTAGTATTAAAATCTAAACACTGTTTTTTGTTTTTATTATTTTATAAAATGTGTGAGAGTGAGCAAATTCTGTTGATCCTGGCTAGTATGTTCTGTCTACTGAAGCCTCTCAGAGAGGATCTAAAACTATGGGAGGATGTTATCAGTCTTCAAATACATGGAAGATAACTTCGAATCTCAGCCATGGGATGTTTTCAGGAATAGATTTGTACAAAACTGCCAGGAGTAATTTTAGGGATAGTCTTATGCCTTGTGGAATGGGATAGACTGACTTTGCAGGCTTTCTTCCAAACCTTGCTTTCCATAATTGACTTTTCTGGCTCTCATAAGAAGTCTGAGTGTAAAGACGTTCAACAGCAGCTCCAGGTGTATCATCTCTGGAAGCTCTGACTGCTTAATTTCTTCACAATCTTTTTGAGAAAAGATGCTCCATCGGTTGCTGGGGTCACAGGTTTATCAGTTGCTGTCACAGAGTCACTGCTGAGAACAGCTCTGTGAGCTTTCATAACAGCTCGATTACACGGAGGGCAACTGTCACAGAGAACATGACTTCTCATTTCTTTAAATGAAGACCAGGGTTTGTGCCCATGGGAGAGGAGCCTGCTCTTTGCATGGATCCATGTGAGAGGGGATGAAAGGTCTAGCTTAGGAAGAAGTAGGGAAGGATGGAAGGTTGTTATGTGCTACTGAAAGTTGTTAATGTTATTGGGGTTTGTGTAGTGAACATCAGCATGGCTAGAGCAAGCTCAAGTAGGACTGCTCTAATAACGTGCTCTTGAGGCAGTGAGGAGGGTTTGGGGTTGTGATTATGAGGTTCTTATTTTTTCCTGTTTATATCTGGTAAGACCCTTGGAGAGTGATTCGTGTGTAGGAAGAAGTTAACCTCTTATTAGAGGAGTCGGTTTTGTCACCCGCTATTCTTTTAAAATACCTTGTGTAATATCAGGGATTAAGGAGTCTAGGGATATATCTGAGTCACCTGACAGAAATAAATTGTACCTTCTCTGCAGTTCTAACAGCCTCATTTTCTTTGATCAGTGAAGTAGAACTTTGAAGGAGGATTTCAAACCGTTGCTGTCGGAGCTTCATTTGCCCTTATTGCTCCTTTTGGAGATTCTATGCTTTCGTTTTGCAGTCTTAATTTAAAAGAGAGATTGAGAAGGACAACAAATAAATAACTTTTCAATCTAGGCAGTTCTCGTGGATGGTGAGTTGGGAGCCATGTCAAAATCTACTGCTGCCTTTTTCAAGGATATTTTCTAAATAGAAGGTTCCTTTTAAACATGACCTGTAAATTTACTGCTGATTTTAGTACAGCAGATTACTTTATTCCTAGAAATGTAGGATAAGTCAAATACGACATTTATTTAAAAGCCCGCTGTTTTAAAAATTTACTTTAAAAGGCCTGTCAGTGCATTTATGAACAGACATAAATGATATCATATGATATAACAGATATATTAATAAGTATTCATGGAAAAATAATAAGTTCAGCATATGTAAGTGAGAAATTCATAATGTGTCATCATGGGAACAGCAAAAATGGTAGTATAAAGAGAAATGAGAAATCCAGGCTCACTAGTGAAAACCTTGAGTAAGGTTTTTTTTTTGTTCACAGCACCTTTCTAAATTTGCTGGTCCTTCCAGAAATGCTGCCTAGTAGCATTAGCCTGTCTGAGGGCTAAGACACCTAAGACATTTCTTACTAGCAAGGAGAAGTTCCTTGCTGTTGATGATCTGAGAATTGCATCTTAACTGCATGTTGCAGATGCGCAGTGCAGGGTACTGTGCATTGCAGCTCTGCTAAATGCCATCTTTAATTGTGCACGGTATCTTGTGGTCATCTTAAGTCATTTGGGTTTGACTACCCAAGCATGGATTTGCAGTTAAGTTTCCAGCAAACTTCTTATTTGAAAGTTGTGACCTTAAATGCAAAGGATTTTCCTTTTTTCTTTCTTAATAAATTTTAGGAGTAGAGAAACTTTGTCACTTTTTAAAAATACTCCTCTGACAGGTCCATCTAAATCTGTACGTGTTCATGATAAATATTACACTTTGTTTTTTCACTAGGGAGACTGCAGCTATGATTTGGAGATTCAGCCTTACTTACGTATTGAAGATGTTAATGTTGAAAGGAATAAAAGCCATTTTTCCATGACCAGCTCTGCTTTTGATCAGGAAGCACAATCATCTAGAAAATACACGGCGCACAGAGCAAAAGTAAAACCATTTTTGCCGTACATAAATGATACTGAGAGTGAATTCATTTCTGCATTTAAAACAACAAACACAAAGACTCTCAAAAGAACTTCTGGATTGAATTTGGAAGTGCCTGTGTTGCCTACAGAAACTAATGCTTTAGATTCTTGCTCAGCAAGAGGACTTGGACTGGTTGAAAATACTAATCAGAGCAGTCAAGAAGATGACGAAATAGAGAAGGTGACGTTTGACTTAAATGAATTTACTGACTTATGTGAGATCAGTGAAAGTACTGTAAATCGTGAAAGTACCATAATAAAGGAATGCAAATCTGTAGATAAAGCTTGCAGCGCACGGGGCACAAACCATGCAGGTTCTGGTTATCGTAGCTTTACTGTTGAGAAATCAGCTGTTTCTTCTGGCTTATTTTATCTTCCTGAATCAGAGTTAGATTCATCTGCACTTGTGACACCATCTGAGGAATCTTCTTGGTTAAAAGGAATATTTTCCTGTGTGCAGAAGTTTTTATCGCAACCTCCTCCCCCTTTGAATAAGCTTTATGATTTTGAAAGCTCAATGGGAAGTGGAGAAGAAGCAATCTGTCCTTTTCAAAATGCTATTTCCAACAGTTCTTCAGACAGACTCCAGGACAAAGTCTCTCCTGCTTCCTCTGAAGCTGATCCTTCGCTACTGCCATTTGAAAATCCTTCTGAACTAAGAGCCCCCAGTGAATTGTGTGCCTCTGTAAATACCTGTCTCACAAAAACTATGTTATCTTCTGAGGCTGCTGTTGATAAAGCCAAAGAGGGGCTTCACTGGAGTGACAGCTTCGATAGTGCGTTTGACAGTGAAGAACTCACAGAACTTCAGAGGGCAAATAACCCTTCAAATAAATATTTTGTTCAGGAAGATAAAGATGATCTTGTAATGAACAAGAAAGATGTGATTACTGATGAAGAGAAGAGCATATGTTTATCTGAAGATGAACACACTAATGAAACAAATGAATTTTTTTCCACAAATGATAAGCATTTAGTCATGGCAAATGCAGGTGAGAGTGTTACTAGGCCAGTTGCAGGAGAAGGCTCTGAATGCTTTCTTTCCGAGAAGTGCTGCATGAATGCTGATAAAACCTGTTGGGAACTGCCAGTAGGCAGTAAAATCACCACTATGAAAATGTCAGGTGATACTAGTGTGACTGAGCAATTTCTGGACGATGGAGATCTATATGACTGTTCTCAAGAATTGTTTTCTGTTAGCTTTGATCTGGGGTTTTCTATTGAAGAGTGTGAGAATGACATCTTAGAAAAAACAGATATGAATATTAGTAATATAAACAAACCAAACGATGCTTCAGGCAGTCATGCAGATGTTAAATCCACTGAAGATAAAAATAAATTACTGAATGAAAACTCCGGGCTTCAAACGCCACCAAAATGGGATTGCGAAAGTCTTGAGCGAGCAAACTTCTTCGCGCCGTTGCCATCCCAGAGTTGGAGCACAAGTCATACAAAAACAATCGGGGATGCTGCCACTGCAGTTTCTCCTTTGAAGTCAGGAGACAGAATGAGAAGTGGATCACCTGAAGCTTTGGCTTCTTTGCCTCATACCCCAACAGAAAGAAAGCCTCTGAATGTTGAAGGTATCAAAAGAATTCCTATGAATGTTTTCTCTAATATCAGGCGGGAAATTCGAGAGATGCCGCTTACAGATAAAGTAAATAGGAGTCCGCTTAGAAAGCGCTTTGAGAGTTCAGTCTTGGGTGCACTTGATTTTCCCTCAGGAAGAACTGAAAACCTAGAAGACGCAAACCTGCGTATTTCTCATGTATTTCCTACTGAAACAGGGACTTCACAGTGGTAAAGTTAGTTAATAGCTTCATGCTTAAATAAATAAGAATGTAGAATCCAATATCTCTTGGATCTTAAATTTAATTTTCTTGACCTAGTTGGGAAGGAGGGTAGAAAAAGGGAATAATGGTTATAATACTAGAGGTTGGCTCAATGGAGAGACTTTCCAGAAACTTAGCATGCTCTAATATACCCCAGGTACTTACTAACTGACCGTTTGAGGCTGATGTACATAGCTACATATTAGATGAAGTACTCTGGGTTACGTCTCTGAAATCTCTTTGCAGGTGCTAACAGTGCAACCCTGTGAGACAACTGTGGCAACTATAGCTGCCTTTAAAACCCTTTTTAATCCTCTCGGTATCTTATTCGTAATCATCCTGATCTGTTACACTTCACTCCCTAAATCCATCCCTTCATGTTTTTCTGTCCTTGCTCCTGAGGGATAGAAATTACACTGATGGATTTCTCTCATTTTAGTTGCATGCCAACTGGCTCGTGTTTAAAATTTTCCTGACGATAAGTTCTGCTCAAACCTAGGTTACCTTAAAATATTAACTGTCTGAAGGCTTTAATCCATTTTTGTGCCCTCCTTTCTTTCTCTCCTTCTGTCCTTCCCTGTTTGAGGGACGTTATATCATTTTAAAAAGCGATTTTTTATATATTTTGTATTCAAATATTGCCAATGCATAACTGACTGTCATTCTTCTTCATTCATAAATAATAATTCGGGCTTAATGTTACTAAATCTCATTCACAGGGCGTTTTGAGTTTTCCTGAATGATTTTGTTATTGTCCTTAAACACTGACATTAAGCGTAAACAGTCCCTTTGGTGGTTATCGCATCTTTTTTGGTTCTCTTTGAACGTGCCTGCTATCACCATGTTTTCTGAATACTACTGTTTGCCAAAAGCCACATTTTTTCCTGAATCATCACAGCCTCAAACTCATGCCTCAATTTGCTGAATAAGAAAATCATAATTTATTAAATTTATGTAGTAATAAACCCTGAAGCAGTGATTGGGGATTGCAACGGGATTCAGGTGGGCAGGGACCCCAGGAGGTGCCTGGTCCAGCCCGCTGCTCAGAGCGCAGTGAGCGCTGAGCCGGCCCCAGGCTGCCAGGGGCGTTGTGCGGTCGGGACTCGAAAACCTCCAGGGGCAGAGATCGTGCAGCCTCTTTGGGCTTCGGTTCCAGCGCTTACCTGTCCTCATACTGAAAGTTTTGCCTTGCAGTTTATGACCGTTATCTCTTCTCCCGCTGTGAACCTCGGGCAACAGCTTGTTTCTGTCTTCTCAGCGACCTCCTCTGAGGTGTTGGAAAGCTCCTGTTGGGTCTCTCCCTAAGCCATTTTTCCTCCAGACTAGACAAGCCCAGTTTTTTGGTGAAATGAGAATTACTGATGTTTAAATATGTTATTTGAGAAGTGGAACGTGTAAGAATTCTCTGCTTTTCCTTAAACGAATTCAAACCAGTGAGTGGTTTAGTGCGAACCAGCGCTCCCTCCCCACCCTCTCCTGCCAAACTCCCGAGCAGACGGAGGAAAGCGTAAGCCAGGATGCGGTGGCTGTAGTTCATGTCGAGTCTGCTTTGGGGCGAGACGTTATAAAAGGCAGCGTAGTTCCTGCAGGGAGGCCAGGGGCTCTCTCAGAGCTAGAGAGGTTCGTCACGTGGCGCGGGGGGGAGCGTGCTGTATTTCGGCAACGGTGGCCCTTGGGAAACCAGAGAAACAGCCGCGCTGTTCGATAGGGAGACTGGAAAGAAGGATTTTCAGCGAGCTCGGGTTTTGTTTCAGCGTATCAAGAAAGATATGTATTGCAAAATGCTCCCAGGAGCGGAAAACTCAACTTGCCAGGGCTTCTTCCCCTCCGTTTCATTTTTCACCTTCCTTTTGCTTTGTATGTGCTGCCTGCGCTTGTCACTTCTGCTCAGAGAATCCCCAGGGAGGCAGGATGTATTGTACATCTCAGCTGGAGCTTATTTATTTTGATTAACAAGGCTAAAGAGAACAATATTTGCCACATAGATCAATAAGTAATCTCTCTTGTAGGTACTTTTGTAAGAGACAGGTTTGGGGTTGTTCAGCTATAGCAGTATTGCATTGTGAACAATACCTTTCCTTTCAAATGCTCTTTGCTGTTTTTCTGTAGGAACAAGCAGTGAAAGCGAAGACGAGGTTGTTATCCGAAGAAAAAATAGGAAAAAAGAAAATGTCTTGAAGTCCCCTGATGTGAGTCTTACTGTTGGGGGGAGGCAAGAGAAGCAAAAAAGACAAAATCAAACACCAAAACAAAAATCCTCTTTGCAATTATACTTATTTCTGTTTACGTAGGTTATGAATGACTGTGATTTTGAATCGCCGGTTCATGCTGTCAGAAAACGTAGACACCCGCTTAACATGGTTAGTGTGTGCTTTGGTGATATAGAGGCAAATAATGCAAACTTGTGTATGGATTGTATTTTTAAACATTTAATCTTCCTCCAATCAGTAGGCAAGCATTCTTGCTAAAAAGATTTTATGCCGTCTGACCGAAGTAAATCAGAAAATAATTTTTTTTTACCCTTCCTTCAGTTCTTTCCCAGGGTCTCTTCAGATGAATTTGTAGTTGTTTGGCAGTGAATTACTATTATAGACATGAGAGCTGAGCCTCTCCCTTTGTGAGAGGCAGTGAAATAACCTCTCTTCCACAAAGCTTTGAGACAACAAAATGTTCATATCAAATTTAATCTGATTTTTCTTCCGAATAACATGTTTTCTTGTGCCTTTCTGAAGAGGTGCTATTTTCCATTTAATAGAATGGTTAGCATTTGCATTATTTTGTGATTTCAAGCGTGAAAATCAGATGTTACTGAAAAAAACTGGTGTGGAAGGATATCTGTGTAATTAAGATGCTTTACTAGCTTTAGCCTTGCTTATTAAAGTGTTTGGGGCATGTTCCTCTAGTCAGATGTGTCCAGTGATGACAGCATGGATTTTCACAAGAACCCAAGGAGGACCACGGAGAGCAGCTCAGCAGCCTGTAACAAGAAACAGCCAAAAAGTGCGAAACGGCAAAAGGTCAAGAGCAGCTTTACCTGCAAGGTATGAGGTTATGTGTCCCTTTTAACAATTCGAAGGGCAAATTTGGTGCAGGTTGCGCTGCAGCTGTAATTTAGATAACTAATGTGCTATGTCATAGGTGTACGCATGTAAGTATAGACGTTTGCAACATTTCAAAAAAAGAACCAAAACTAGAATTGGTGAGATTCCAGTCCGTGTCCAAACTGCAAGAATAAACTGCAAGTGTTTTCTAACTTGTCTAAATTTAAATTTAAAAACACATAAAATGCCAAAAATGCTGAGCACTGGTTTCTCATCCTTAGGACAAAAATTTACTGTGTCATGGAGCCATTCGTTCTGGAGCCTGTGTGTGTGTATATCACAGAATCTCAGAGTGGTTGAGGTTGGAAGGGACCTCTGGAGATCATCTAGTCCAACCTCCCTGCTCATGCCAGGGTCACCTAGAGCATGTTGCACAGGATTGTGTCCGGATGGCTTCTGAATATCTCCAGGGAAGCAGGCTCCACAATATATATTTTTACCGCATTATGTAGACTCTCATGGTACAACTGTATTACAGTAGACATGCAGTTGGGCAGTAGTTCATCTTCAGGACATCATTTAGTAGTGTTGATGCCAATATCTATTTCACAAAAGTTTGTTGCAAATTTGAGATGAGATACAAAGAATAAGGGGGATGAAAAGTCCATTTTAAATTTTATTTAAACATTTTATCAAATAGAAACCGAAAGGTTTATGGAAAAGAGAGTGTTATCTGTATTCCTATGAAATTCTGTTCTGCCTTCACATGTCATCTTAGCTAAACATCATATAGATGAACATGTCAGATTCTAGATTCTCAGAAGATTGAAGACATCACAATCATTGTGATAGTCCACCACCGGTTACAGTGCTCTGGCAGAATTACTGATAATGGATTGTAAGTGCAGCAGTGATCTGTGATTAGATTAACTCTGCTTGGGAAAAGTCCACTGTGGCCAAAATAGCCAACTGGCACTGAATCAGATTCAGTAGATAACTTAAGAACGTGGTAGCTTTTTATTTCCTGTGTGTGACCAGACTCTTGACTATTGGTTTCTGGTGTCACAGTGTATTTCACTGCAGGGTTTGTCCGCTCCGTAGTCTTCCACAAATCAGAAGGATTAAGACTAATTGGCAATAGCATTGAATGTTCTTTCCTGTAAGCTGGTGACCTCTATGTATTTGAAAATAATCAAAACACTTCTAGCAAAGGAACTGTCAGACTTACTAATTGGTGTAAGCAAATAAGTTAAAAGAGACTAGACTTAGGAGAATTTGGAAAATCAGAAATGTCACTTATTATATGTACAAGATTCCTCACTCTTCCCTGTGCTAAAGCAAAAAGTACAGCTTTGTACATTATATTCTAAACATCCTGAAAGCAAACAAATCAAGTAAAAGATTTTACTTTAATGCTTTATAGCTGAAATTATAAGAGAAAAAATTAGCTTAGTATAACGTGTCTCAGAAAAGACATCTTCCTGACTTTTTTTTTCCTTTTGTTTCACTGGACATCCTTAGGTATGTTCTGTTGTCTGTTATTGACGGAACTTCAAGGTTTGTATTGTGTTTCCTTTGCTGCATTTGCTGTGTAAAGTGTCTCGAATTCCATGGAAGAAGAGAATCTCCTCAATAATCAGTTGCATTGTCTAATGAATTAATGAAACAATTCTAAGTCCTAAACAGAAAAGGGCAAACCAATATGATGTCTGCATCTGAACTTTCTGAAGGACTTAGATAATCGAGACTTTGTAATTCTGAATAGCTTTTCTGTAAGCAGCTCCAAATTAGAATGAGTAAAACTAGATTTATAAGTTATAAAATAACATAATATCATTGGGTAGCTTAGTTGCAGTGTGTTAGTAAACTCCATCTGTGCTTGCTTGTTAACTAGTCTAGGTGCAAACTGTACTATACATACACTATATACCTTTGGTTAGCATTTTTAAATTGGCTCCAGCTTCATCCTTCTGTTGTGGTGGGACAGATTTTGTGTTCTTTCATGTATTTCACTGAACTGTGTGTTCTTTACATCACTTCCCCTGTGATGGATTCTGTTTTCTAAGTTGGAAGCCTAATACCTGTGGTCATCTGAGCAGTTATCTTGTGAATTCATGAACTGATTTAATCAGGCATCTCATATGTAACATTAATTAATTGGCAGCCAGCTTCTCTACCTTAAAATTTGTTTGCATTTTTTTCTTTTTTTAGAATGCAGCAAGACAGTTTTTAGATGACGAAGCTGAGCTTTCCCAGCAAGATGCAGATGGTGTTTCATCTGATGAGAGTGATGATTCAGAGAACGGACTGAGCTCTTCACTCGCCCAGTTTCTCGACGATGATGCAGAGTTCACGCAAGTGTTAAATGGTGAATGAAGAAATTGTTTATGGTTTTAAGATAAGAGGTATCACTTAGTAAAGTGGTGTACGATACGCATGGTCGTTCAGTCAGTTGCTGTATGTGTCAGTTTATATGCAGTAAACACTTCAGCTGTGGTATATTAGGTGCTTGCCATTATTTATTTGTACCTTCTCCGTTTGTATTCCCGTGAGTTCCATATGTATTAAATGCCTCCCTGAACGTCTCTACGTTGCAATAGCTTTGTGCAAGCTTGAACGAGTCCTTCAAGGATTGCGTAGTTAGGGGATCACCCTTCGCTAAGACCCAGCCCACCCCCACATACTCCATTAGGACTGCACAGAAACACAATTTTCCATTTCACTTAGAAGTTTCTAAAACTTCCAGGTCTTTCAGTAGAGCGACCTGAAATATGATACAAAATAAAGGTAGGAGTGTAAAGATAAAATGACAGTGTTGACGCTGTCAGAGATGAGAAAGTAATGCTTTTTTTTGGCTGAGGTGATTTACTTATTCCTACATTTATGAACCTTGTCTTTCCCTCAGATATTTGCACAACAGAATCATCTTATTCCCATTTAAGAGATTCCCAGAAGTTGCTGCTGAAAATTTTCCTCCTCCACTGAGAATTGTTCCCTCTAAGATCCTATATGTACTTAAGTGAGCCCACCCCTTTTTCCTAGTGTCTGAAATAAGCTGTCCTTTCTGTTTTGGGAGAGGCTTGCAACACGTAAAACTGAGTGATTTGGGTTTACGGGCGGGTGACAATGCTCTTCTCTCTGCTATGGGTAGCCTACGCTCTGTCTGCTGAGAAAACCTTGTACATGGCAGCTCTTCATGAAGGCACGCTGGGTAGGCCTAGTCCTTTGTCTTGCTGAGATCTTTAGAGGTGTCTGAAGAATTTCAAATTCTACTTTTTTCTTTCTTTTTTTTTTTTGTGAAATACAGGTTTTGGGGAGCTTATGATGGAATTATTTATTATGAAAAGCATAAGGTAACAATAATGAAAGAAATAATTATATCCTTAATGATAATGTATTCTTTTCTGTTTTCTTTCTTTAATTCAGAGTCTGAGATGAAAGGAGTTTACCTGAAATCTGTGCGTAGTCCAGCTCTTGGCAGTAGGTACAAAATGGTTCACCGTGGATTCAACAACAGGGCGATTTTCTCACAGGTGTGGAATGAAATGACTACCATCCTTGTGAAATTCACTTTATCTATAACTGCGTTTAAGTTTTAATCGTATTTTGGAGTGTGGTTTGCAGCCTCTCGTTACTAAATAATAAGTTATAAGAAAAACCTTTTGATTTCCTTGTGATTTCTGAGTTTAAAAAGTGCACACACAGGTATGCTTTGACAGAAGCAGGCACATTCCCGCTGGAGAGAGGTGGTCAGCCAGTGCGAAGCGAAAGCATCCCAATCCCAAGTCCTCTCTTTTCGCTGAAGAGTAAGGCTGTTACTGTGGTCACTGCTGATGGATGTAGGGAGTGTACGGTACCTCCAGGGTCGTAAGCTTTTCCTTCCCCCTCTCTGATGTCTGCCACTGTCAAAAGGGATACTGATATGCATCTTCCATGGAAGGTGCCTCTGACCCAGCATGGGGTATTGCCAGTGTCTTCCAATTTAGGGAGAGAAGCAATTCCCCAAAACAGGTGTAACAAACAGTTTGGGCATGTTCCTGGTCCTGTTACCCAGCTGCATATCAGGTTGTCCTGAGCTCTTGATGCCAGACAAGGAACGATGCTAATGGATCAAATTTTTTCTAGCCAAATTCAAGGTTAACTACTGGAATATAAGTTTGGAAACAGTTATGAAAGGAACAAAGTAGCATGTGTGACGGTGCTTGCAGCTGCTGCGCAGCGTTCTCGCCCGGGGCGCCTCTTGCTCTCCGATGGCCTCACAGTGTTACTGCAGGGGCCTGACCCGGCCTCGGCGCGTGCCCCGGCCTCGCGGGGTGATGCCGGAGCGTGCACGGCGCTCCCAGGCAGATCCCTCAGCTAAGCTCTTGTCACGTTACGTATGCTATCGTTGGGTGCGTTCGTAAAAGTGCCAGTGAAACACTGCTGGGTTATCCGAGCGGAGCTTGCTTTGAATCGTAAACTTCTTACCCTCGCTGTTCCCTGCTTAGCTCAGTGTCCCGGACACCCGGCTGCGTTCCCCCTCCGTGTGAACGCCGAGTTGCGTTCAGCTAAGCGGTGCCGCGTTCCCCCCCCGAGATCTGTCCTTGGGGATCTGTTTTGCCCCTAGCACTGCATACATGCCGTGACATAAACCACTTGCTGTACTCTCTTTTCCAATTATGTAGTCCTTAACTTCCCCTTCTTGTTTCACAGAGACCAACCATGGTAAGTAAATGATAAAATTAGAAAAATGGATGCTCAGGACGGTTTGTCACCCCCCTCACTCCCAGCAAGGTCTCTTTCTGTATCCTGCGTTTTTATATCACCTTCAGCACTATAAAACAGAGGTCTGTATTTGATGAAAAGGCTAAATTGTTTTTTTTTCTTTCTTTTTTACTGTTAACTCTTTATTTCTATTGTGGTATTACAATTAATAGCTTCATTAAAAGCTTTCTAGTGGAAAAACCATGGGCCTGACCCAAAAATCTCCACGTACACTCATTTCCAGAAACAGCTGCAAGTATGCAGGGCCTCCAGGGAAGTAGCTCAGAGATTAGGTAGCGTGTTCACCACTCTTATTTTAGGAGTATTAAGAAACCTGTATGCTTTATGGTACTTAGGCATAGGATGCATTGGATAAGTAAAATACAAAGCAAGAGCAAAAGTAGGATGTGATGTCAAAACTTGCTGTTTTTCGTTTTCCGCCCGCCCAGATTCCTGAGCAAGACGAGGCTTATGCAGAAGACAGTTTCTGTATTGGAGAGGAGGAAGAGGAAACTTGCCCAAAAAGCGAATCTAGTGAGGAGGAAGTGTGCGTCAATTTTGATCTCCTAAATGATGAGAGTTTTGCTGATGGAAAAAAACAATACCTCACTCGCCGTAGAAGAAAACTGAACCGGGCCCAGATGGAACAGGGCTACACTGCTCCAATGCCAAAAAAGAAACCATCCCGAATTATTGTTCTTGACGATTCCAGTGGGGAAGAAACAAGTGTCGGTAATGAGAAGCCCATGAAAGCAGGCTGTTTCAGGACAGAGCAGGAAAATGCTCAGTTACCCAGATCATTGCCTTCAGTGTCTTCAGCACAGCACAAAGAAATTGCTAGAGAAATCAATGCTCATCAGCCTCTGGAGAATAAGGGTCAGATGCTTCTTAGCTTGAAGGCTTCAGTATCTGAAACTCTCGATTTTCACCCAGAAAGTCGAGTCAGGAGCGTACGTTCTTCATCGACTGTCACTAGTTCTGATTCGAGGAAAGAGGATCTTCAGGCTGCCACTGAGGTGAGTGTTAATTCAAAACAAGGACTTTCATCTCGCCTCCCATTTTGCTAAAGAAAGCAGCGTGGTGGGAACTCGTCCTTACTGGATTGTTATTACGAGGGCTGTCAGAAATACAGCAGCAGGAGCGAACGTGCTTCTGATGGTAAAGGCGTAAGTCCATTCTACTTTTATTGCTTTACATTATTGCCCTTTTCCTTCATATAGGAAGCTCTTGTACTTGCAGTGTAACGTGGAGAATGTCTTAGTGATAAATAAATAACAGCTGAGGATCAGATACTGTCTTCAGTCACGGGGGAATTATGGGTCTGTCTTAAACAGCAGAAAGATTCCAGTAACCTGGGGTCAGGTTTACTTTGTTTTTGTAGTTGCAAAATACTTGTTCACTGTCCTAAATTAAAAACCTGCATAGTCTGAGGTTTGATCCCTGAGCTTCTGCTTTTCTGCCTGACCTTCATTGTTTACAATATTCAATTTTTGTTGAACTCATATTGTTAGTGAACGCTGCATGCTTCTGCAGTTCAAGCCACTGAATAATTAGATGCTTAACTAATTTCAGAGATTAAATTCAGACATCATTAAAATGTTGTTCCAAAAGTGTTAATGTTTTGCAGTAAAGCATCGTTTTTTTAAGAAGATTTTATTAACTAGATTTTTCAAAAAAACTGTGGAACAAAGTTGGTATCTGCTGAGCATCAGTGTTGAAAACCGTATTTTTTTGTTGGCGTGTCATTCTTTGGCCTTAGGCTTCTGTCATCACTTAGAAATACCGTGTGGTTTTCAACATTTGCAGGTGCAAAGTTCTTGGAAGAACGCCTGTGTGAACGCTTCAGCCGCATCCTGCTCTGCTTCCAGGAGACCCTCCCCAGCTACACTTCTTGTTTCGCCTGACCCTCTGGAGAAAAAAGCTTCACTTTGCATTCTGGTAGACAGTCGTGAGATCTCCTCTGGACCAGACGTAATATCGTCCTTGAAGGCGGTTCACGGAGTAAAGGTGCAGGTTTGCTCGCTGAGCAGTAGCGATTACATTGTGAGCGACCGCATGGCGGTGGAGAGGAGATTTCAGTCAGAGCTGCTGAACGCTGTGAATAGGGCTAAAGTTGTCCAGCGGATCCAGCGCCTGCAGAGCATGTTTGAGAGAATATGCGTGATTGTGGAAAAGGACAGGATTAAAACAGGTAGGTGTTCCCAGGCAGGGGCGGCAGTGGGCGCGCTGCGCTCTGCCCAAGGCTTACGGGGCCACACTGCCCCTGTGTATAGTAGAGATCTGAAACTAGTTATATTAAAAACCAGTGCTTTAGCCTCTGCAGGAGTTTTACATTAATAAAGTCACGAGCTAGTTTGCTTTGTGTTGAGGCTACTTAGTAGAGACGGAGATCCACAGCGGGGCATCAAGGCCACTCTGCTGGAGCGAGGAAACACAACTTAACTTGTATTCACGTGGCCAGTGAGTTAACGGGCGCAAAAAGAGTCAGCTTCAAGACAGCGCGCAGCAGAGAAGGCAGGAAGGTGCGCTAGAGAAGGTGCTTGGCCCTGACCTCGTAGTTGACTCGAGACGCCCAACGAGCGGTGTCTGTCAGCGCGCGTGGGAGATCTCTCGTCTCTCGGAAGCAGTGCGACCAGCAGCCACCCCGAACAAACCGTTCTGCATGTTAAAGCTACCTTCAGAAGGGTTATTTAACAGAGAAAAAAAAAAAAAAGGAAAGATCAAAACATATAGTAGCCGGTACTTGAATAGTCAGAAGATAATCAGCTGAATGTAAGCAGTTTTTTAGAAAAAGACAAAAAAAAAAGCACTTGTACAAGGAGTTACTTTTGGAAATCTGTGTTTGAGCTATTACCTCATGGCACAAAGCACAGAACAGATTCTCCAATACGCCTTTGTAATCCCGCCTGACTTTATTAAACACTCATGGAAAATTATGGGCTGTTTCTTAAATTAATTCATATAGTTTGGACTAGCCCTTTGTTTTAATCATAAGAGCCAGATTATGTAGTCAAATGATGTTATTAATGCTGTCTATTCCCAATGCCATCTAGAAGATGAAGTAATTAAAAGAAATCCTGCATCTGATTTTAAAAAGATGGAACTAGAGCTTCCCTTAAACTGCAGACATTTTTGCATATAAAATGCTGCTATTGAAATAAAATTCTTGCGGATGTAACTTTGTTTTTGTGACATAAATCTAATTTCTGTGATAGTCTAAGTATGACTACGCTGGTAGAGTTGGTCACTGGAGATGCAGACTGCGGCAGGGACGTTCCCCTGCCCTAGCTGCAGATAAGCGCGTTGCTCTCGAGTTGCCTTTCTACCCCGCTGGCAAAACCTGTGCTCGTTTTCAGCCTTTTTGTGCAGTTTCTCTCATTACGCTGTTTTCAAAGTGCTGCTTGCTTCTTATTTGACCCTGTTCAAGTGCTTTCTTCGTACCTTTGTAAGCTTTACAAAATCTCTGTAGCCTGTCCAGGTATTCATCATTTATCACATGTTCCTCTCGGCCCTCTCCGGTAACGACCTTTGTGCCTAATTTGCATTCCCGGTGTTAATTTCTGAAATCTGCTTGTGGAGCAGCCAAGTGAACCCTTCTCACCCGTGACCCGTCCCACCTCCTTTCCTTGGGAGCTTTTCCCTCCTCATGTTTTTGTGCTGTGAGACCTGGGGGCAGTGAACCTGCCTGTGTTGTTACAGCAGCCCCCTCTGCTTTGGTGCTTTGTAAGTGATTTCACGTTAGATTTCTTCGCCGTCATTTAGGATTTACAGATAAATCTCACCGAGTTTTTCTATTGCAACTCCGTAGGAGAAACGTCAAGATTTTTCCAAAGGACTCAGTACTATGATGGAGTGCTCTCAGCCTTGGTCCACGCCGGGATCCGAATCCTTTTTAGCTCTTGCCAAGAGGAAACTGCCACTTTGCTGAAAGACCTGGCTTTGGTGGAGCAGAGGAAAAACGCTGCCATTCTTGTGCCAACCGAAGTGCAGGGTCACAAACAGGAAATGCTCAACTTCTTCCTGAGTATTCCTAACATCAGCTACTTAGCTGCACTCAACATGTGCCATCATTTTGACTCCGTGAAGAAGATGGCCAACAGGTAACAGCCAAGGTGTTCTGCAAGTCTCTTGAGGCTCTCGAGCCTCACAGGACTGAGTTCTGGATTAAAACTGTAGGGCCTTTTCCTTCTCCTTTCCCATCTGTCTGGATTTGCCGCTGGCCCTCATGCTAACAGTGCGAATCAGCAGCCAGCAGGTTTTAGTTTCTATGTGGAAAAGATGGAGGTGGGGAAACCAGTGGTTTTGACGGGGAAGGACTGCCACATTCTCCCTTCTTTCCATAGCTGGTTGGGGCTTTGAGAAGTTGCTTGGGCCTCAGGGCCGACTGCGGCCGTCCCCGCCGCCTCTCGGGAAGCGGTCCTTGGGCCGATCCCGGCTGTGGGGAGGCCTCCCGCCACTGTCCTTCTTCACTGTCTCACCCAGGAGCTTGTGCTGGGCCAGAGACGAGGCAGGATTGCCCGGAGGTGTCATTTTTGTGCCTGTTACTCGCAGAGCTCCCAGGAGCTTTGCTGCCTCCACACCTGCAGCTCTCCTGGGCTTGCTTAGGCTGGCGCGGTCCCATCCTGAGAAACCCCGAGGCAGGTGACCGTCAGCAGCTCGCGGCGTTGCTGCTGCTCTCCTTACGCTGGACGCTGCTC